TATATATATATATATATATATATTGTTGCCCGGTTTGATCATTCTGCTTTCATGGAGAACTTGAGAAATCTGTAAATATTTCCTGTTGAGAGGCTGAAATTCTGACGATTTCGACAATTTTAGATCACTAAACGACTAAGCAATCCTCACAAATAGTTATTGATAAATTTGATAATCCATTAGTTGTCGAATGGTTGCAACTCTACTCCTGTATTAAACACAGTGTGCGTGTGCGTGCGTGTGTGTGTGAGAAACAGGTGGTGGGTAGCGCGTTGTACTTCAGCAGCTTCAGCGTGGACAAGCTGGGCCAGCCGCTGTTCAACGACAACCCTCAGCACACCGACGGATGGGAAGTGCCAACGTATCTTAGATGCGGCTGACCCCGGACCAGTTTGGAGCCTTTAAACGCTCACTCTATTGTTGCTTGTCTATTCTTTCCGCATTGTCATTTCCTTAAGTGGCGCAAAGCTACCAGCAGGTCTTCAACCTGGTTGTCGGCACAGATGGACAAGAAATAGAAGTGAAGGACAAAAGGTGTGCTGGGAAAAACCTATTGAGGATCACTTAAAAAATCTGCCATCGAACTCACTTCAGTTTATTTTAATTGCCGATATTTGATCATTTCTGTCCATTGCAGGCCCAAATCGATGTGTTTTAACTGCGGTTCAAGTGCTCATCAAATGAGAGACTGCCCCAAGGTGAGTCAGAATCCGCATCCACCTTAAAAAAAAATTAGTCTGGCCCTACTTTGTTGTAAAATTAAGCGAATACTAGAAACCAGAAAACTAAACAGACATTTACTGGGCTGTTTGAATGTGTTTGAGGGTAAAAAAAAATAAAAATAAAACAAGAAATAGAAATGGCTGATTTTTAAAAGATATTATCAGCCGATTAAATCTTCTACAGAAATGGGTAGTTTCAAAATAGGATTTCAAACCTGGTTCGGATTTCTAAGTAACGTTTCCCGCCTTGGTTCAGAGAATTTCAAGTGAAGTTTAGAGCTTCAAAAGTGGGTTAGGGTTGCGAAGTACTTTCAAGCCTGGTTAATTGTTTGAAATTGTGGTTTCAAACACGGGTTAGGGTTTTAAAATGATTCAGAATGATCATGTGTCGTCGCCATGACACAATGAGCTTGCTTGTGTGTCGTTAGCCTAAAGACATGGCAGCCATCAACGAAAGAAGAAAGGAGTTCACCCAGAGCCAGACTGGGCTCGGGAACCATCGCTACCACGCAGACGAGGTGGAGGAGCGTTTCTCCAAATACAAGCCGGGAGTCTTGAGGCACGCGCCGCTTGTCACGCGCACTTCCCGTTTGAGTTAAGCTCCGTTTGTAAAGCCGTATACGTGGCCTTGTGTGCAGCAAGGAGCTTTTGTCCGCGCTAGGATTGGACGGCAACACCTTGCCGCCGCTCATCTATCGCATGAGGCAGCTGGGCTACCCGCCGGGTTGGCTCAAGGAAGCCGAAATGGAGAACTCGGGTTTAACTCTCTACGACGGAAGCGGTAGGACTGCTTGCTCTCTTTTTGTGATCCATTCCACTTTATCTGGCTGCACTTTTTTTTTTTCGGATTATACATGACAAAAGCAGGGATTTGACCGCAAAATGTTTTACCCGAGTCATGTGTTTACAAGCTGTAAAAATACAACTTCAATTACATAGATATAACAAAATACTCATTTATTTCAATATATTCAACAGCTTATTTTGGGGGGTTGGGGAGGTGCAATCAAGAATTTGTGTCGTCTTTTTAGGCAACAAGTAATGCCGTCTCAAATAGAATTGAAGCGTACTGTAGGGCCATTCATCAATTTTATTGATTAATTCGTTTACTTGTCATGCTGGTTTAAAAAAGATTGGATGCTGCAAAAGCAGGTATTTATCCATTTGTGGAAAACTTGACTCAAGGTTTGCGCATCCAAGCTGAAAATGTTTTGTTGAGGTCACCTTGCCAAATGTTAATCATAGTAAAATAAAAATACCTATGCCTGAAAAACATTCTTCCAACTAAATTTGTATTGGAAATTTGTTTTTCCCCCTCCCAAAGTTGTTGCTGAGGGGAAAAAAAATTGTTTCAAAGCTTCTTTGGTATCAGGAGGAAAATAGAATAAATCGCTAACTTGTTTTTGTTAATGTCATTGTTATTTGCATTTTATATGAGAGAAGTGGGGGAAAAAATCTATTCAAATCATATTTATGTGAAAGACAATCTCACACTGTGTTGTTTTATTTGTTGTGTAGTGTCAAATGTCAGCAGTATGACCAGCACACAAAACGTCTCTTACGATGTTTCTAAACTGGTGGATTTCCCAGGATTCAATGTGCCCCCACCACACAAAGTCAAAGACGTAAGTTACTACCACGCAACAAATCCCTCTTTGTGAAATACCGTGAAATAATTAATGCAAGGCTTTATTGCGTCAGTTTGTTGATGAATTGTAATTTGATTCTTATGAAATTATGCTGCAAATAATTTGAATTTTAAAAGTACTAAAACTAAAGTCTGGCGTTAACCATTCTGGTGTTTTATGGTCATTTGCCTTAAAAAGGAATTACTTAATCTGAAAGAAATCAAATTTGGTTTCCCGGTAATTATTATTGAACTGGTTACATTATGTAGTTGTGACATGTCATTGCCATTTTTAGGTGAAACTTCCTAAACGTCCTACCTATTGGACGGTGTGGGGAATGGGGGTTCCATTTATTTTTTCAAGATTAAACTCTCTTTCTTTTAAAAAAAAAAAAAAAAAAAAAACTAAAGTGTTTGTCGTTTGTTCTTCTGTGCAGGAATTCATGCGCTACAGTTCAGTTCCCATGCAGAGCAACCACTTGAAGCACAACTTCGCCGCTTACCTGTCCACTCACTTTGCTTCGGTAAAACTAACGCTACTCTGGTGTGACACTAATCGCCTCATGGGTCGCCATGTGTCCTGTCCAAATATATAGCTCACAACTTCCGATTTGGTGTTTCATCCTATGAAGAGCCTCTACTCATTTATACAAAAGTAAAAGTAACTAAGCTTCGCCTTTTAGTCCGCTAGCTTAATGCTAACATATAATGGGAAACAACATAGACAGGTTAATGGCGTCTGTGTCGGTGTGATAGCACTTTAAGCTAGGTGTCCCCAACCACCAACCCGGCATTTGGTACTGGGCTGCACAGAGACACAGGGGAAAAGAATATGTACAGTATCTAATACATGTGTGTGCTTTTTGTTCCTGATTTTCTTCACTTTCTTCTTTTTTTTTGTGTAAATGACGTGTGTCAACAGCCAGACAGCCCGAGCCGCAAGAGGCCCAACGAGTCGGATTCGTCACAACACCTCCGGAAGAGGCCAAGGTCCTGCCATGATAGCAACTCCGATATGGATATCGAATCAGGTAAACCAAAATCGTCTGGGCGATTGCTCGATCGTATCCGTCTTTGGCTGTTATGGAGCACAAAAATACTCATCTGGGCGGAATTCGGTGGAGTGAGTTTCAGAATGGGTTTACTTGAAGGAAGGTTGACTCTAAATTTGTGGCACATGGGACCCACCAAGATTTGTAATCAGGAACAGCCCAGCTTGCAAGTAATTGACACTACGCCCCAAAAAAAGGGGTGTAATTGCAGATTGAGTCCAAAAGATAGGTCCAAGGGACTGCTTTTGCATTAGACGGAGCTTTGGCCCGTCTAAAAGAAGCGCCTCGACTCATTTCAACATAGTTCCTTCCTTGACGACAAAGATGCCACAAGATGGCACCAAATTGTAACTTTTATTTTAGACAATAGTTTTTCAATGAGCAATACAATACAATACAACAATGAAAGATGGTAGCCCCCCTCGCCCCCACTAAAAAAAATGTACGAAATGCTAATGGGTGACAACTGTTTTTTTTAACAAATGTACCTAATTTATTCATTGTTAAAAAAATAAATCCTAATCAATTTGAAATATTTTTTTTACAATCAGTTAAACAATTAATTCTATTAATTTGAAAAAATGAGCAAGAACAATGAAAATAATAAACATCTATACACTTTACCTATAGAACTTTTTTGTAAAAGAACCTCCCGTGTTTTTTGCGAGAAGTTTCATTCATTTGTGAATCGTTTTGTTGACTTAGTTTACTCAATTCCCCTCTCGTTTGCATTTTTCCCAGAAATGCAATTTTTTCTTCATGGCAGTGATGAGCATCAATTATTTGCCATTTTTCCCCTATTCGGAGTCGGGACTCAATTATTCCCCCGTAAATGGCGTGGGTCCACTGTAATAAAAAGTTTGACATTCCCGCCCACTAGATCCTGGGACCCTTCACCACACCCCTCGCCACGGTGACTGCTTCAGCTCGCCGCCACCACTACCGCACGGCACACCGCCCGACACGCCCACGCCGCCGCCTCTGCCCAAAAGCACGCCACCCCCAACGCCAACCAAAGGCTCCATGGCGACGCGGGGGGCCCACTGGGTGGTCGTGGACGAGGCCACGGAGGGGAGGGAGGACGAGCTCACCCTGGAGGAGCTGGAGGAGCAGCAGAGGCTGATCTGGGCGGCACTCCAGAACGCGGACTCCAGTAGTGAGCCTGAGATGCCGGCGGTCGGGACCCCGCCGATCGCGTCGCCCAGCAAGTCCACACCAGTGCGAGGTGACTCAGAAATGGAAAGTCTCAAAGAAGCGGGTGGCTGTCAGAATGAGAATGAAATGTTCCCTCGACAAGTTTGTCCTCAGAATGGCACACCAAGCCCTGCTGGACACCAAGATGGCGGCACCCCGAGTCCTGCTGTGATGAAATTCACAAAAGATAACGTTCCTCCAGCAAAATATGAGGAAGACAGCCCCCAAAGTCCTCCTGCGATGAAATTCACAAAAGATAATGTTCCTCCAGCAAAATATGAGGAAGACAGTCCCCAAAGTCCTCCTGCGATTAAATTCACAAAAGATAATGTTCCTCCAACCAAATATGGAGACGACAGCCCCCACAGTCCTTGTGCACTTAAATCCCATATGGACAGTCCCAAAAAATCCCAGAATGAAAGTCCTGCACTTAAATCACAAGAGGACAGCCCCCAAAGTCCTGGCGCAAGCAAATACGTAAAAGACAGTCCTCAGAGCCCCAATCCAGAATCCCAGGATGTAAACGGGGCCTCCCTCAAGGCCGTGGCGCCCAGGGTTTCGGCCGTTCCCCACCGCAGCCGCTTCGCCGAGGGCATCGTGCCTTTCGAGGACACCCCTGAGTACACAGAGGTGGCCGAAGCTACGGGGACGTACCTCCGCATCAGAGACTTGCTCAAGAGTTCGCCTCGCAATTTAGCCAAGAAAAAAATGGAATGACAACAACAACAAAAGTACCTTTTTGGCTCATGTTTTTACTCATGGTTTTTATGTAGAGCATCGTCAAGGCACAAAGGGACATTATGCAAAGTTTATTTTTTAAATTGTTTTCATTTTATCATGAGTTGAATTTGTAAAAATGTTCATTTGTGACTTAAAATTGATTTTGTCTTTTTTGGGGAGGGCTACGCAACAGTGTTGAAGTAAACATGTCTTGTTTGCCTCAGTGTGACACTATTGAAGTCACTGATGTATTTATATTTCTGAATGTTCATGCAGACAATCAATCACATGGCACATATTGACAATTTCCTTTTACATTCACACCAGTAATTGATGGAAAGCCAACCCTAGTGCAAATGCCTGGTCTTTGTGATATAAAGGAAGACTAAGATAAATCATCTCAAAACTTACTAACGCAATTGAAAAATCTTTTCAAGAAGGGAAGTAAAAATACGTTTTTGGCACAAGCGTGCACACCCTGACAAGTGAAGATGTGGCTGTAATTAGAAACATATGTCATATTCAGGCTTGGGTTAAATTGTCAGCACACCTATGTCTCCAGTTAACCCCCCAAAAAGTTCAGATGTTCTAATAGGCTTTTCCTGACATTTTTATAATCACATTTTACAGTGGAAGCCATGGCTGCAGAGACCTTCCAAAACAGGGGGATATAAATGTTCATTGGTATCACTCACGAGGGAGTACAAACATTGCCAAAGCAATATATACACAGTGGAACAATGAAGTCATCAAGTGGGGAAAATATGGTACAGAAGATTATGCCCCACAAAATTACTACAAAGATGATTAAAACTGTTAATGCTGCCAATACTGAACGAGCTGCAGTATCTAGATATGTATGTCAAATAGGCAAGGTTGTTCAATTTAAGTTTAAAGTGACCCTTTACAAACATAACAGAGTACAAATATCCATTTGCTACAAGAAAAATGAGCAACAATAACAAAAAAAAGTAAACAGCAATACAATATAAGGCACAATAAATGTATTCAAGGTTTATGAGGTATTGAAAGTGAATTATTGCAAGGATAAACGTGGCGTATTTTAAATGAAAACCTTCATTTGAAATGCACACCCGAAAGCAGTATAACCATGTTCTATGTCAAACTTTGTCATCTAATTCCGTGTTCCAGTTGAATTTTCATCGAGGAGAAATGTTATTATAGCTACAAAGTGTATTCCTAACATGTAATTTTTTTACTGTTATATCAAATTATCTAACTCTGAGACAAAGTGTTTGAGTCTTCAGACGACATTTCATCAACTGGGGAAAAGCGTTTATGACAGACAAAATTCAGAATTTGACTGAAAAGTATTTTGTCACAAAAAAAAAAAAACACTCCAAAAATATTACCATTCCCTCCGTATAAATCTGAAACATAAAATGTTGTATGTTTGATGGTCATCTCGTTCAAATGATTTCAGCAGATTGGGTAACCAAGCGCATGCGCGATTCAAAGTTCCGCGTGTGAGGTTACCTATTTTTGCTGTGTTGACGAAATCAAAGCATTCCTACGGCAACGCCACTTGGACAAAGTCTACTATATAGCAAATCGCGCTTTTGCCGGTACAGTGCCTGAGTGAGAGAGAGGTCGAAGCAGCAGAAGCAGCAGCTGAAGAACTCTTCTCCTTCCACGGGAAGACGTGGGCTCCCACCACGGCACTCGTAAACAGGGCAGGGCTCGCGTCATTTTAGTCGCCTTTTTCAAGAAAAAAAGTCGACGCTCCTAAACGAGTGGATGTTGGTTGAAGTTGCCCAGGTAAGTCGACGACTTTACTTGAGACGCCAGGTCGGCTAATTGCTAACGTAGCTCGGTTTTCAACTACCGGCTGTCACTCGGGCCTCGCCCGTTGATTGTAGGGGCTAACTAACCGTGGCGTAGTATTCAAAACGGTCTGAGTCACACGGTATTACCCGTGGAGGGGGGTTATTATTTGGTACGGTGCCAAGTTAGCCCTCCCACGGCCCCCGGAGCTGCCACCCTGTGAGTGACATGCCGGACACTTTTGGCCGCTTTCGAGTTACACTCCCCCGGCGTCTTTCTTCTGCAGTGGTCGGTATGAGGTGGGGTCCTGGTTTTCATGATTTTTTTGATTTTTATATTCAACAATTTCGGGGTAACTTCAGCCGTTAGCTCGGTCAGATGTGCCACATCAAAGACAGGCGGTGTCCAAAAGGCTTCCCGGTTCGAGTTGTCAACGTCACCACACACGAAACTTACCCTCAACACATTTTCCCCCTCGTTTTTGTTACCATCATAAAGCTACAATGCAACATTATTTTGGTCGCACTTTGGAATCAGCACTTTTCATAATTGGCAAGGAGTAGGTTTGCGAAAAGTAGACTCCATGGAAATTAATGGTAATTAAAAAGAAATTGGAGATTGGTTCTTGATTTAGTTTGTGAACGAATCCAGACCCAAAAAAATCATGCAAGTACAAAAGTGAGGCTGCACAGATAATGATACAAGTGTTGCAATCCCAATACTGTTTAGCTGTACTGTACTTGTGCTCTAAAACTGCTCCAATCCTGCGACACTGACTCTTTAAGGTCACCGTGCCCTGTCACGAACCTGCTGCAGTGCCTCACTTCAAATAAAGAGAAGTGATCGGCAACGTGTTAAAGCATCAATTCAGTTGTCCTGTCACATTTTTATTCACAACTTGAGGTAGTCTCAACAACTGGGCTTGTGTTTCTTATGACTCACTTTAATTTTGGGAACGTGATAACCTACCTATATAGCCACCGGACTACATTCACCTTCGTCTCTTATCCACTGTATGTACTGTACTCCTTTTGCATAATTCCCCACAGTGTTCTGACACACCGCATGACTGAAATGCTTTGTGTTCCAGGCTACATTTAATTGAACTGTGCGGCAGAACTGTTAGGGGAAAAATGTACAGTTGGATGTTATCGCCAAAAGCGTTAATCCTGGTATTGGGGCTTCCCAACACCCGTCTGCCGCCGCCTTGCCAGCCTCTCTGCACTTTAGTGCGCGGCTAAAAGATTAACATGATTGCGGTGGGAAAGTCTTCAGACTGAGTGGATGATTTCACTTGAGTGGTGGCACATAATGCAACAGGGCTCGTACGGGTCACATCCAAGATTCTGTATGGGATTCGCCAAGAAGGCGATGGGCTAGTCGATATATATTGTGCGGTCATAAGTGCAGTGGGTTTTTGTTCTTCCTGTCGGTCCAATGACCCGAGGCTGTTCCTCACTAGGCATAGCGGGTGTAAACTGGAGCGCTCTGGTTAAACTGGGTCGAAGACGGCCGCCTTTCAGTCCACTGACATATCTTGTGTGTGTGTGTGTGTGTGTGTGTGTGTGTGTGTGTGTGTGTGTGTGTAGGAGTTTTGACTGTATGCATGTGTGGGAATTGTTTGTGTGTGTGTGTGTGTGTGTGTGTGTGTGTGTGTGTGTGTTCATGTTTAGGAGTACTAACCGTTAGACATAAGTTTAAAAAAAAAAGTGAATGATGTTCATGCTCTATTAAACTTCTTAGCTTTTGACAGTACAGTGGACGCCCCATTTGCGGGTTGTAGGTACTGGGCCGGCCTACAAATACGAAAATCTACTATGGGTCAGTGAAATACATTTGAAAACAAAAAATATTTTCCCAAAATGTTGATAAATATTCGCTATGTTTTTTTCCAGTCAAATCATGGATGTTTTGAGTTCAGGTGTTCATGTCCTCATTCCAGAACAGCAAAAAAAAACAAAAAAAAAACAAGCTTCATGACATTTGAGCGGGTTGTCAATCTCAGTGGGGAAGATGGATAAATAAAAAAAAAAAAAAAAATCAAACATTGCTCCAAAAGGCTTTCTGCGGGCTGCTAATCTGACAAATAGGATGATCTAACGCTGCTGGTGGTAGTGAATCCCCCTCGTAATATCACCCCCCGCCCCCGCCCGCCTTCTGCCATAATCCAGTTTCCTTCTTCCAGCCAGACATTCGCATTTCACTTGGCAGGCCAAAAAGCGCGAGTGGCCACGTTTTGCCCACGCAATCAAGGTCGCGGATGCCACCAGGAGAGCTGTGCCGGCGTATCGTCTGGCCTTTCGGCGGGTATTTTTAGGCTTGTGACATGGCCTCTGCTGTGCTCACAGGAACAGAATGCCTCCCAAAACAAAGTCACCCCGAATGACTCAAGGGACATATTGACACTAGCGCAAACGTTTTCGTCTTCCACGCACACACTGACCCGGGCCAAGAATATCCTCCGAGTAATTAATCATATGAAATATTAACTGCAGATCTTTTCAAAATGTAACTAACATCAGCCCGTTTGACATTATTGAATACATGACCAATCGGTTATCAATGTTTCAGAGTAAAGGAAAATTGTTTCTTGTCATGACCCTTGAAAGACCAACACCAGCACTTTTTCTGCAGGAACCTGTTTAAATGATGGAAACACAACAGTGACCTGATTTCCTTCATAAAGTCTCTTTGTTTTTTCCTCAGGGTGCTCTTCTGGACTAGTTTTTTTTTTTTTTTTTCACGCCCAACTCCGTTTTCCTATTTTTCTTTTCTTATTTTTGAATATATATCTTTTTTTTAACGTCACCATCCAAGAGCCTTCACCTAGTGGTTTACATGGTCTACATTCGGACGGCGCCCGCTGACGGACTTTGGCCTCGCACCTCCACTACATCGTACGAGGAAACATGAGCTCAGCCAAGGCCAGTGGGAGCAAAGTACCCAGTAAGGTAGCCCGGCCACTGGCCACCGGCATCCCCAAGACCAACCCGGGCACAGGTAGGAAGGATTACACATGATAACACCACATTCACCAAGAGTTATCGTTTCAGTAGCCAAGCACTTCCATTGCAAGAAATAAGCACTTGGAATTTTGCTGCAGTATCTGAAAGGGGAAAATGTACCGATAAGTCAAATTAGGTCTGAATTTTTGCTGTATGCTTCGAATGAAGAAAATGTAGCACCATCTGGAGGGTAGAAGTTATTTCCTCTCCTACTGGGGCAGTGTCTCCTTCAAGCTTAGCTCCTCTACCAGAGGCCTGGGACCTTGAGGGTTCTGTGCAGGATCTTAGCCGTTTCCAGTCTTGCACGGAGATGTCAAATGTTGTTCCTGGTATCTGCTGGAGCCATCCATCAAACTTAGCGGCACCATTGTTGCCTTTACCCTTCACGTTTTCTTAAGTTCAGCCCTTTGTATCTCTCCAGCTTTTCATCTTCCTCAAATCCTCAAGGTATCGTCCTGCTTTTCAACAGGAAGTAAAGTTGCCGCGGCCGACAAATCTGCCGCCAGCGCGGATGACAACCATGATGTCGGGGACAGTTTCGAGATCGGCGAGCGCGTCTGGGTGAACGGGACCAAACCGGGCTACGTCCAGTTTTTGGGAGAGACCCAGTTCGCCCCGGGGCAGTGGGCGGGCATCGTTCTGGATGAGCCAATCGGGAAGAACGATGGCTCGGTGGCGGGCGTGCGCTACTTTCAGTGCGATGCCCTGCGAGGGATCTTCACCCGCCCATCCAAGCTGTCGCGCACCGAGGGTGAGGGGGACGGCACGCAGACGGCGCCGCCCTCTCGCGCCGCCTCGCCCGCCCGGTCGGTGGCCAGCGTGGCCTCCCACACTCCCGCCATCAAGTCCGCTCCGGCGAAGAAGGCCTCTGCTGCGGCCTCATCCGCGACGCCGGCCGCTCAGTCTTCCAACCTGGCTCGCACCAACAGCGAATCCATTTCCAACTTGTCAGAGAGCGGCTCGGTCAAGAAAGGGGAACGGGAACTGAAGATGGGCGACCGGGTGTTGGTAAGGTTTGGCCCTCTCTCTTTTCTCAAGAATAGCTTTGGCATGTCAACATAAACACTGCCCAGCGGTGCCTTGAGATACAAGTTGAATTTGTTCTGTGACCGCACTTGTAACTCAAAATAATCACAAATCATGCTTCTCCATTCACATGAAATGAAATGACGAGTCCTGGACAAGAGTCCTGGAATATTTTTTGCATTCATTAAAAATTTTTTATATTTTTAAAATAAGTTTGTTTTTATTCATTTTAAAAAAAATCTAATTTAGTGAAAGGTTGAGTTGTTGTAAATAAGAAAATGAGTATTGGTGAAATAAACAATGTTACGTATTTTTTTCAAAAAAATATGAAATATTTTTGCATTAATTACTAAATGTATTCTAAATAAAATACAAATGAGCATGATTTGTTTGATCGTCAAAATAAACTCAATTATGTGTTGCATGAATTCAGCCTGTTTGTCCCGAGAATTGGTTTCTTTGAATGAATTGATTTCATCACGTTTTATTCATTTAAACCTCAAAGCCACTGAGAGCTTTAAATAGCCGAGAGGTCGAAAAGAGTTTTCCCCCTGTGTTGACAGTCTGACCGCAATCTGCTCGGCACTACTGGCACGCCTTTCTGGCGCTTTGCTGGAATTATGTCATTTAGGATTTGAGTTAAGCAAAGCAGATTACAGTGAACCCTCAGTGGCGCCGCTGCTTCAGGTCCAAGTCCCTGACGACTCTAGAGCAAAATTCCCGAAATAATGGATACCCCCGAAAAACTGTTACCTATATTAACTTATTTACTACCAGATGTTATCAGTGCAGAGTTGTCTCTACTGCAGCCTTTGTAGAGCTTTTTGACTGAGCTTTCAAGAATGCGGACTAAGGTTTTTGGGTTTCCGCACCTTCCTCAGGTCGGTGGAACCAAGGCAGGAGTGGTGCGCTTTATCGGAGATACGGATTTCGCAAAAGGCGAGTGGTGTGGTGTGGAGCTGGACGAGCCCTTGGGGAAGAACGATGGTGCAGTGGCAGGCACACGGTATGAAACAAATGAGCACTTGTGACAAAAACAGTCTTACCTTCACGCTTTCAAATAAGTACTTGTCGCAAGCTTCAGATGATGGGACGAATTAAAAATGCATTAATTTATTATGAAGAAGTCCGGGCAAGGGCGCCGGAATGCACTCACATTTGGGGGCAAGGAGAGCCATCGCAATTCAGCTTCAGTCGTGGATGGATTAGTGTTCCTCCCCATATTCACAAATTCACCATTGTGTGTATTTTCTGGGGTAATCTATCCTCCGTTAATCGGGTTTTGTACTAATGCCAAAACTCTGTCTCAGTGATGCTGTGGAGCCATTTTGTGGCATAGTGGCGGCAAGGAACTCTGTTGAAGTGAGAGGAGGAGCATCATTGACTCAGGGCATAGCCCGGCCACATAGAAAGCTAATGCTTCACCACCATCTTGTTACATCAATAGCGGATTGTTAGCCTTTTTTTGAGAGGCAAGTTAGGAGATTGAATCCCCAAAATGACTGAATTTCAAAGGTTTCCCCTCACCGGCCACTTCCGCAGGTACTTCCAGTGCCAGCCCAGGTATGGCTTATTTGCGCCAGTGCACAAGGTCACGCGCATCGGCTTCCCCTCCACCACGCCGGCCAAGGCCAAGGCGGCGGCTCGCAAGGCTGCTGCCACCCCGGGCGGCCTGAAGCGAAGCCCCAGCGCCTCCTCTATCAGCACCATGAGTTCCGTGGCCTCATCTGTCAGCGCCAAGCCGAGCCGCACTGGCCTGGTGAGATACACTCAACCACAATACACAAATCATGATACAAAAAATGTCTTATGGGTCATAAAGCAACACTTGTGTAGTGACACTTGGTGGTAGTAGTAGAAAACAAAAAGGTGCAGGGCTATCACTAATTATAACTGCATTCAGTGTAATGGTGACTTCCATCCATCCATATTCTGGTTCGCTTATCCTCACAAGGGTCGCGGGGTGCTGGAGCCTATACCAGCTGTCTTCGGGCAGTAGGCGGTGGACACCCTGATCCAGTTGCCAGCCAACCACAGGGCACACAGACGAACAACCATTCACACTCACACCTCGGGACAATTTAGTGTTCACTGTGAGGTCGACACGCTAACCACTGGACCAGCGGGCCGCCTCAACTAAGTTTTTGGTGTTGTACTTTCACACGTCACTGAGTGGGGATCGATCCCACGCTGCCTGCACCCAAAGCTGGCGAGTGTACCACTACACTACCAGTGACTGCGTAATGGTGACTTTTTTTTTTCTATGTGTTGATGTGAAACCAATCCGTGGTGGACTGAAAAAATATCAATGATTTTGACGCGGCTTGACTTAAATTACATTAACAACAACTGCAAAAAAAAAAAATTGTCATGCAACCCCCTGATCAGTGGTTTTCAGAGTACGGCCCGTGGGCCACATGGAGCACGCTCCGTTTTTGAATGCTTCCCACTGAGCATTTACATGATTAAAAGTCGTGGTATAACTGCATTACGGTATTTTATTCGTTGATCTCTGCCACCCACAGCTGACAGAGACGTCGTCACGGTACAACCGCAAGATCTCGGGCACCACAGCTCTGCAGGAGGCTCTGAAAGAGAAGCAGCAGCACATCGAGCAGCTCATGGTGGAGAGGGACATGGAGAAGGCCGAGGTGGCCAAAGCCACCAGCCACGCCGGGGGGGAGGGACAGG